ATGTTACTTCAAAGCAGTGGAAGATGCAACATGGAAATGCTTATTCTTCCATGGCAAATTCTCTTGTGAGTAATTCCAGAGCCCTGAAGGTCTGCACTGGGAAGCTGCTTAACAAATGTAAATTGTTGGAGTCACAGAAATAACACTCCCGTTGATGGAAAAGAAAGATTATTCAAGAAGCAAGATTAGCTGAAGAGCTTCCAAAAGAGCAGCTTTGTTCTGCATGTGAGCTGAGATGTTCTCTTCACCTACTACATTAGAAGAGTTCTTTGGTCTATTTTCACCTTTTGTGTAGGACAGGCCACAGGAGAGCTTGGCTGTGATTATGTCCTTGAAAAGGAATGATTTTTTGAAGTATCTAAACTTGATCTAATTACTCATCAGTGGAGAATTTTACATAGCTTCAGTGTGAATTATCTTCCTTGTTAAAACATGAACCTTTTTTAAAGATTCACTTGCATCTGCTTTCTGCCACCAACTGCTGATTGTTCTTGTCTGCTGGATTCAACCACTCCTGTTACCTCCATTTTTCCAGTGTAGATTTGTCTAACTCAATCTCATTCCACCTCCCCCCTCAGTAGTCCAAGCTCCTTGAGCAAAGAATTCAACTGAACGAACTCCAAACCTCAAGACTAATAACAACAACATCAGATATCATCATCATCATCATCAACACCACAGTCCTTCAAAAGCAGTTAGGTCTTGTGTCTTCAGGCTTTTGTATCATTGAATACTATTTTTCTAAGCATGTTTTTTTAAAAAAGCAAAACAGCAAAACAAACACAAACTAAAAACTCAGGCAATGAGCTACTCTTCTACCAGTTAAGACACTTGATTAATTGTTGTGTGGAACATAAAAAAATAAAGACTTGCAGGAACTGATTCAGATCTGTCAGGACTGCCTTCTTGCTCTCTGTGAAGGAAGGATTTCTACATACTCTATTTCAAATTTATCTTGTTCAAACTAAGTCTTCACATCTAGATTTTTCATCCCAAGTGAAAATAACAAGCTGAACACCTTCTAGCTACATTTTCACTGAGAAACCAAGCACAAGTCTCCAGGCTGGGCTCCTGCACAGCCACTGCTGGCACGACACCAACATCCAGCAATAACGGAATTCAAAAAATGCCCCATTATGAAAATACTTTAACTCCAAGAACTTCCTCCACTGCACTGAGGAAGTTATGCATACAAACCTCCAAGGAAAAAAAAAAACAACACCAAATGTATCCAGTCATCAAGATGCATTTCTGCTTTTATTTAAATAAATAAAAAAAAATACTTAGAGCCAGTATTTACATACTCAAACCAATTACTTTTCAAACCTCCTGGTTAATAAGGAACAGATTCTTCCAGTAATTACCAGAAGTTCTCACAATGCAGTTACTGTACTTTTAAGTACCTGCTGGACACTTAACCAGCATTTCCAAATCCACAGGAGAACACAGCTCCTGTGATACAGGATTCCTTCATCTGCCCCTGAAGGCAGGAGCATTTTCAGAACAAGAACTGCTTTCCAGACAAGGAAACCACCTTGCAATGGGTAAAAAAGACATTTCAGAAACGGGGTGAATTGGACTGTTGATTTCTAAAACTGAAGACCAGTTTCAGAAGAAAAGTTTAATTTCAGCCACAACATCATTTTTCAGTTTTCTGAAAACATGTTAGCACTGGAAGAATCCAATTTTCACCCAAGATCGTATCCATATAGACACCTTTTCTAGGTAAATTCACTATGCATCTTTAAAGTCACACAACTTACTGCATACAGTGCTTTAAATTCAAACCTTTTCCTCTCTTCTTCCAAATGCTGCATGTTTTTGCTCAACTTTGCTTCTCAGCCATTTCTCCTGCATGAAGGCATTAATTTATTCTGTTCCTCCCTTATCAGAGGCAGCATGATCTGCATTTTCAGGCAAAAACACTCCCATGCTCTGTAAAATGTTAGAGGTGGGCCCTGCCAGCCCAGACTGAGCACTGTAGGATTCAAGCAGGTTAGTTACTAGGTTCATATCCACATCAACTGGTGTCAACTCAGTCTCTTCAGATCCAGAATCAGGGCCAGCACTCTGAGATGTGGCTGCATTAACAGAGCTTGCCTGTAGTTAAGCATAAAGAGAAAGTGTTACCAAATTAAACAAACAAGGTTTTTCAAAAAGAAAAAGATGCCAAATCACTAGAGAAAAGAAACAAGGCACCAGCTCTGCAGCCAACAAAGCAGTATGTTCCACACTATCTTGACAGGAATTTAGTCACCAAATGCTTATGCCAGTTAAAAATCATCACTTTCCATTATACAGATGAAGTTCATAGAGGAGGACAGAGAGGGTTACTGGGGCCTGGCTCATCTACCACAGGAACTCTTAAGAAGTCAAGCTGCAGCTGCTTGCCTCCCTGCTAAAGCAGGGTGAAAACAATAGGAAATTAAACCAAGTCTTGGGAAAAAGATGTGCAAGTTAAAAGCTATAGCTAAGTTTTGGGTTTGTTTTTTTAGTTTTGTTTCGTTTTTCCAAAGGAACACACCATGGTGCAACTGCAGCACATTTTGCTTGCACAAGGGATTTTATTTTTTTTTAAATTTAAATAATTACTTAACAGAGGGTTAGAAGACAGAAATTTTTGATCACATTACTCAGAATGACCCATTTTTGCTCAGTTCCTCTTTCCTGCCAAAACTCTCAAGGCTGTTCTGCTACCAAGTAGAACTCAAGGCCTTACTTACCCCTTTCTTTTGGGTGATGAAACTTTTACCAACATGGGTTTGTGCCAGTTCCTGGTCCATCTCATCCATGTATGACTTGAGACTGCCTATCAGCTCGTTAGGGTCCTGGTCTTGCCTTTGGTTTTCAGCATCTAAGTCTTCATCATCCTCCTCTGAGGTGACAAACTCCTGCTCTTCATCCAGATCATCAGAATCCAGCTCTTCTGAGTCTGAGTCTGCCCCTGTGTATTATTTTGTGTCAGTTTGTAGTAAACAAACCAGCACAGCACCCATGGGTGGTCAGAAAACCCAGGGAAGACAAATAACCATGAGAGACTCTGACAGAAAACATAAAGAAAAAATCTCACCTAAAATTCTGTCCAAAGCTTTTGTGAAAGAATCTACATCGAAGGTAACATGGGATTCATCAGCTGACCTGAAATATAAACATATTTTTAAAGAAATAAAGCTTTTATGCTTGCATAAATCTGACATAGGCAAAACCCACATGGCACACTGGCTTGTCTCAAGCCTAAATTAAAGCTGGGACATTTAAACTGATGGTCTTGAAAGTCTGGGGCTTGTATGAATTAGGAATGAGACAGCAAGTGGAAAAACTCCTGGTATGAAGAAAACCGACAACTCTAATTCTTTGTCACAGTCAAAGAAAAGTTGTACTGAGGGCCATTAAAGTAAACCCACCTGAATCCTTCTGGAACAAAGGGGGGTGTTAAACACAAAGATTTTAAAAGCTGAGAATCTCTGATACCCCCTGCTTAGAAAGAACACTAAAGGTTTCATTCTGGTCTCATAAGGCTCAGTTTTGATTTTATGGTTTGTTTGCTGTTTTAAAACCTGAAACAAAGGTACATTATAACTCAGACATTAACACCAACACCAATTGAAAAGGATCAAACACTTCAGACCATGAACTGAGTAGACCCTTAAATGCTTGCTACAGAGTGCACAGCACTATTTTCTCAATATTAAAGCTATGAAAAAGAACCTGGGCAACATGCTACTACCTGTTTTTTTTCAAATTGAAGGCCTGTCCACACAACATTCATACACACACTTCCTTAACTCCAACAATTAAGCTAGTGATATTCTGCTGCTGTCTGCATAGTTGAGTACCTTCAGTTCTTCATGGCAGAAAAATTTCAGCACAAATGAACTTGAGCCTTCAACTTAAAAGGGTGAACAAAATGTTAAAGCCCACAAAACCCAACTAAGAGTGCTGGAAAAGAGCACAGCTGCCAGCAATTTACCTGCACCAGTGTCAGGTTTTGTCTCAGGCCCCTGCTAAGTAGAAGACTTTCAAACTTTGCATCACAGAACCAACCAAAGGGCTGTAGCAGAATAAAACCACGTTCTACACCAGCCACCCAACTTAAAACCACTACCCACCATGGCATTTCTGCTCCTTCATGTGTCGAGACTTTGGACACAAAAGCTTTCATACTTTCAGCAACTGCTTCCAAGTCATATTCCTGCTCTTCCTCGTGTGAGGAAGCAGGGGAGTCATTTCTTGCCTCCTTCAGCATCTTATCCAGATCATCTGGTGTGATCTCCAGCCAACTGTCATCTGAGAGAACACAGCAAATACTTGTGATTCTGCACAAGTCTGTCAGCCCACCAGACCCAGGCCAGATGGCTGAGGGTACTGCCAAGCATTCTGTAGCTCATTTTTGCACTATTAAATTTTATTGGTGATACTGGCAAACACAGGGTGTAAGGCAGGGGGAGGCTGAGAAGAAGAGTTCAGATTTCATTTTACTACTTTAACACAGTAAACACAGCTTTATATGCAGCTTCAAACTAGCAGATATTGATCTAGACACAGATCATCCCTCTGCCACCAAATGAAGGAAGAAAAGGGAGAGCAAATTCCACCCTCAGCTATGATCATGAACAATGAGTGTTGGACTGTGTGCTTCTGCATCCTGCAGAGATACAGATGAGACCTGTGCTGCACACCTGCAATAACTACATGTGTTGTTCACTCATTCTGTCAAATGAGTGGAAAAACACCTATTATATAAAGTTTGTGAAGGTTTTATATTGGCCACCAGAGTAGACCAGATAGTAATTAACTTTGTATTGTCAGTATTGGAACTGATTTATTTTTATAAAATGTTTAAATACCTTCTGTCTGATAGATAGTTGACACAAAGCACTTGACCTAGTGTAAGAGGAGGTGGTATTACTGATGCAGAGGTACCAAACCCAAAACTGGATTGCAAATCTTGCCAATTCACAGCCACAACTTTTGTGGCTTATACAAACGACCTGTTCCCCTGAACCCTAAATGACAGCCCCCCTCCAGCATTCCCAGGATAGCTGACAAACTAAATACATACAAACATTCCCCCATCTCCCACCACAAAGGATCATTTGTGATAGGAAGAGTCCACCCCCAGATCTTGCTCACCATCCTCTGGAGGAAGGCAAGCTGCTTCTCTCTCAAACTCCTTCAAGTCAATGGTTGTTGTCTGTAGCAACTTCAAGATTTCATCACCTGGGCTCACTTCAGAGCTAGAAGGAAAACATGCAATGGACTAGAATGGATTTTTCCTGGCATTGCCATGCCAATGACATGGCTCCCTCTCCAGGCAGGTTTTCACTCAAATTCCTCATTATCCCTTCCGTGCAAATACATCAAAAAGAGAACTGAACTTGGGGGAAGTACAGGAATACTACACAGATAATATTATCCAAAACAAGACTTGATCAATTATTGCAATTCCTTGTTGAGAAATGGGCTTTGGATCCATCCATTTCCCTTTACTCTTTATATTTTGATTTGGTAAACATGAGCATTTCCAGATCCCAAACAGCACAGCCTGGAAATTCAAGCAACTAACTGTCAAGATATTATGAGCTGGCAAACCCTCAGATATTTTGGTAATGATTTATTTTTTGGATTTGATCTCTTTTGGATTTGATTTCTCTGGAGAAATCTACAGCCAGCTGCCTGTCTTGAGTAAAGAAGACACATTACTCTGTATTTATTATTCACTGGGATTGCTTTTCAATGAAACCCTTAAACACTTCCTATAGCCAGCCAACCAAATAATGCTTTTCAGTCACCTCTTAACCCACTTGGAATAGCTTAACATTTTACAAAACCAAGATAAATAGTTACTCAAGCAATAACTTATACAAGCAAAGAGTATTCTAGAGGCATTAATACCCACATGGCCCAGCCACAGCACCTGTGCTAATTATACAACAGAGAAAAGGGTTCAGGTTCTTTCTAACAAGTACTGAAAAAGGTAAATTAAAGGACTTGTAGGTACTGTGTAAGATTACTCATTAATTTAAAGCAGCTGTTACCTTTCTGGCTGGGTAACAGATTGCTGGAAGTAATCTTCTGCCATACGCAGCCGTTCCAAGTACTTAGCAGATCCTTTCATTTCTCCCTATTTAATAAAGCAATATTAATAAAGCAATTTAATACATCAACAAACCATTCTCCCTCCCTTTTCACAGTCAAGACTATTTGTCACACTGAATGCTGAGAAAAGGAAAACCAAATAAGATTGCTTTGCCACCTATACTTGGAACAGAAGAATGCAGGAAAGGTGTTTTCAAAGTCAAATACAAACTGGAGCCTCCTGCTGCAGTTTCAAAAGGTGCACTCTACAAACAGTCACCGATCATGTTACTCATTCCCACAACAGGATGGATTTATCAAGCCCAGGTTACAATTCTCCAAGAATTGTGAATGAATCTTCTGGTGTTTGGGAATTGTCTACAGAAGTGGCATTGTAATACTGTAAAATTATTCCCTCATTCCTTTTCTTCTGTATTTAAAAAGAAAGAAACCTAAGCATTCCAATAAATTGTCCAGTTTTAGAACCTTCAAATCAATTTATGTCCAATCTATCAACTTGAAATAAGTAGTCAATGGCATCTTTGAAAAACAAACAAAAACTAAACCCCACACAAACAAAAAAGACACTTACATGGGCCCAAATGGGTGTGAAGTACAGATCTTAAAGAATATTTAACTCTAGAGGCATGCAAATGAAATGCAGAGCAGTGAAAACAGTTACACTGGCACACAACCACACTGTGCTGTCCTTCATTCCAGTGCATTTCCCCTTTCTTTAGATGAATGAAGTAATCCTGGTATCCCTGCTTTTTACTTTCCATTTTCCAAAATAAATACATTCATTTCAAAGGGGAACCAACTGCATGTACCTCCTTTCAAGACATTAATGCATTTTCCACAGACAGAAGCAGTGGATTTCTTGCCCTGGTGTTACTACTTACAGAAGTTCAAGATCTAAAACGTGTGTTTCTGAATCATTCAGAGGATGCAGGCACACACATACACACACACACAGCTTCACCTTGAAATACTGTTTTTCCTCCAGGCTGTTGAGGAATCTCTCCCACAGGGGGCCACTTAACACATTTCTCTTGGCACCAGGAGACACTTCACTGCACTTGGAGCACAATATTTCAAAGCCATGAGCCTGTGTGAGAGATGCAACAACAACAGGTCCTCAGGATGTGCCACATTCCAGTGCACCTTGAAATGCCTGCCGAAAGAACCCTTGCACTCCTGATGCTGCCATTTGAGAAGCAGCTGCCAAAGTGGGAATCTGTCTTTCTGCAGCAATAATGGATCATCCTGACTTGGCAAAGTTTCTCTACATGGGCAAAGCAACCCAAAAGACATATCTACTCCTCACAAAAGCATGAAGACTTTACCTGTGAACTTCAATCTGTGGAAGCACAGGAGTGCTCTGTTCTCTGAAAGAAAACTCCCATCATATTGGGAGTATCATTCCAGGAAAACAGCTGGGAATTTGCTCAAATTTTTCTGTACATGCAAGCAACTTAGAAGCAAAGAGCCATCTCTCGGACACACCTGAGCAAACAAACTGAAGGCACAAAAAAGAATTACCAGTTTCATGCCCAGCTCGTGGGCTTTGTACTGAGGGTGAGATGGGAGGGGCAGGGTGTATCCACTGCGTCTGTCTGGAACAAACTTCTGCTGCACCAGCTGGGCATATAAACACTTTGTGAAAGTCACCTGAAAAAGCCAGAGCAGAAGGAAAACACTCACTGCAGAGGAACTGCATTGTGCACAGGCATCAACTTTCCACCAGCCTCCTCTAAATTTTGCTCTAAAACACCTATATTACAGACACCACCCTGTATTCAAAATGTATCTTAGATTTGTTGCTTTTCAGACCTTACAAAGTATATTCCAAGTTGACATCTCTAAATAAACATGAACTTCATTCAGTCTAAAGACATTAGAAAAAAAAAATCTTCAGTATTCATGCCAACAAGATGTATTTTGAAAAACTTAAGGGTTCTTTTCAATTAAGAAAACCAAAGCTGACTTTTCAGGACCAGTCTAGAAATCTAAAATGTGCCTCCAAAGCCTCTTGTCAGGAGTCTAGGGGTATAACTCTATAATGCAAACATGTCAGATACAACACTGCTTGGACAATTCTCATTAAACACTTCATAAAAGAGCTTTCAGAGAGCTGTGTGAGCACAGCTGAGAAGGTGAAAAGCCGTGAAAAGCCTTGGAATGAACAGGTAGGAGCAGTTAGCAGCAACTCCTCATGTTGGCTGGCAAACTGCTCTGATCACAGAACTAGACCAGCAAGGATTTCAGCAGAGGAACTAAGAGCAGGAACCTCTGATTTCAGAAACACTTATCTCAAGGGGTGATGGTTTCAAGCTAGAGAAGGGCAGATTTAGGTTGGACATGAGAAAAAAGCTATTTAATATGAGGGTGGTGAATCACTGGAACAAGTTGCCTACAGGGGTGGTGGAGACCCCATCCCTGGAGACATTCAAGGTCAGGCTTGAAGGGGCTCTGAGCAATCTGTAGTTCTAGAGTGAGATGTCCCTGCTTAGGGAGGGTTGGACTAGATCACCTTTAGAGGTCCCTTCCAACCCAAGACATTCTGTGATTAGCCATCTGAAAGCCTAGCCATGTCAATCTGAAGGCAGAAAAATTATTCAGGCAATGGAATGGTAAATTAACATCTAACCTTAAAAGAAAACAACAACTCAGCACACAGGCTATTTCAAAAAGGAAATCCAGGTATTTGTATCGACTGACCACAGAGCCCAGATCGGCAACAGGACCTGGGTGACAAGCTGCACCAGAAGGGTCACTTACAAGAGTCATGACGCGCTGGTCTGGAGGGAAAGTTCGAAAGCAACGACAGGCTCTTAAATCCCCTGGATCCCGCAGGTAAAAGGCCTGGACTGCCGGGGCCACCAGCGAGGGGCGCTGCTTCAGCACTGCTGCGATGCCTACTGGAAGGTAGCAGTGGGCCCGGTGGAACGAGGCCTGGATTTTCTCAGGATACCTGTAGCGTGTGACAGCAACGTAGTGCGTCATGTGCATTGCAAGCGTGAACCACTGGGTCCAGTTCTGGAGCCCCCAAGGTAAGGAGGACATGGAGCTCATGGATAGGGTCCACAGGAGGGTCATGGAGATGCTCAGAGGGCTGGAGCAGCTCAGCTCTGGAGACAGGCTGAGAGAGTTGGGGTGTTCAGCCTGGAGAAGAGAAGGCTCCAGGGAGACCTGAGAGCACCTTCCAGTACCTGAAGGGGCTCCAGGAAAGCTGGGGAGGGACTTGGGACAAGGGCAAAGAGGGAGAGGACAAGGGTGGTGGCTTTAAACTGGAAGAGGGGAGACTGAGGTTAGACATTTGGAAGAAATTCTTCACTCCTGCAGGAGAGCAGAAGAGGACACCCACATACCCACTGATGCGTTTGTCAATGGCTGCTCTGATGGACTCTGCAGCCAGGAACTCCTCAGAGCGCTGGGATAACAGTGTCAGTGCCTGTGAGATTGTTGGGCTGGCAGCAGGCAGGTCACATCCCTGCTCCTCAGTCTCTGCCAGGGGAATGATGTGCAGTTCTCCCTTGTAAAAGAACACCTGGCAGACAGGAACGTTCTCGTCAGAACAGGGTAAGAACCACAGCAGACCAGGAATGCAAAATATCATTTGTATCAACAGGGAAAACACTGAAGTACAAAGAGAAGAACAAGGCAGAGAGCAAATATATTTTGTTGTGGATGTTGCTTTTAAAATGGGAGATAAGGTAAATACAAATTCCAGAGATCATGATCCAACCAGTAAATAAAACCCCCCGATTTTAGCTGCAACAATTTTTGGTCAAATACATCTTGTCTCCTGAATACCAACACTTGCTCTTCAACTTAGAGGTTTACCTCAGGAGAATCAGACAGCTTGACCCAACTGCTCAAGTGCAAGGACTGAGAAGCACTCTTTCAGGGGCTAGATGTGACCCCTGCTGGCTCCTGATCCTTTGTCAGAAGAAAACTGAATCATCAACTCACTCAATTCCATCTATTTCCTCAAACAGCAGGAAAAAAATCACAGAATCTTAGGGATTGGAAGGGACCTTGAAAGATCATCTAGCGCAACCCCCCCGATAATACAGCACTGATAGTACAGACACAGGTTTGCAGTTAATTTTTCTGTTGTGTCCCAACCCTTTTGTTTTTAAGAGCCTTGTGGTAGGAAAAAAAAAACACCAACCAAAAATAATTGCTAATGAAAAAATAAATTGAGGAGAGCAACATGGTATGTTTGCATTACAGTGCCAAACACATTCCACAGTTCCCATGTCATCCAAGCTTTCTCTGCCCTCCAATAGCCTAGAAAACAGAAAGCTGACCCAACTCACTGACTTTACAGATGAAGCAAGAGCACAACAGCTTCACTGCCTTCACATTTGCCACCATGAGTAGTAACCAGCTTTAAAAAGCTCAGTCAGCCCTGCATTATGGAACAGCTCTCAAAGAATTATTTCTGTGCCAGAGTGATCCAGCTGAACAAGACTCACAGCCTTATACTCATCAGTATGAGAATACATGAGCAAAACAGTGTTCCCTTTCTTCCTTCCACCAAAAAAGCCATTCTAGAAGAACCACTTGATACCTGTAACTATTTCCAGACAGCCCTACAGCAGTTTCTCAGGACACACACAGTCTACACAGCATTCTGCAGGAGCACGCAGAGCAGAATGGAGTACCAGAGGCTTCCAGTGACTCAGTCTCTCATTCAACATCCACAGCAAGCATAAAGAGCCTCATTAGAACCAGAACGAAAGCAGACTGTGCCAGAAAAAAAAACCCCATGCAGCTAATTAAACCAAGTCTTGAGATCTGACCAGAAGTTTCCTCACAGAGAGCACTCTGGCTTCTCAGTGGCAGTCAGGCAGACGTAAAAGAAAACTCCAAGTGGGAACTAAAAGGCCACTGTGAGCCCCTTGCCAACTGGTAGAGAAGTTTTACTCACCCTGTTCTCACTGTTCTCAGGATTCAGCCACTTAGGGAGAAAATCAGCTGCTTCTATCAAGAGAAACTCCCCATCGTCGTCATCGATGCTGGCCAAGGAAAGAGGGGTTTCTCAGCAGGGGAAGCCCGGCACAGCACACCCCACACGCTGCTAAAGGCACCTCTGTGCTTCTCTCTCGTCCCGGGACACAACCTCCCGCAGCCCCTGCCAGGACAGGCGCTGCCCCTTCACCCTCACCTGGCTGCCAGCCCCGGGAACTCCCTAGTGATCTCCCGCACCAGGTAGACGATGAACCACTCGTCCTCCACGTTATCCCCGAACAGCGTCGTCCCGCCGATGTGTGTCGGGGTCTCGCCT